CTGTGATCGGTGGGGAGGTGGGACTGGGAGGGTGGTGTAACACTGGGCGACTGTGGCCCTGCTCTCCCCAGACTCCTGGCTACCAGCTGTCCCGCAAGCCCCCTCGGAAGATTGATGTTGCCTGTGTCACCTTCGACCTGTACAAGACGCACCCGAAGGACCCAGGCTGCCTTAATGTCAAAGCCACCCTCTATGGCACCTACAGCGTGTCCTACGACCTGCAGTGCTACGGTGCCCGGCGCCTCATGAAGTGAGTGCTGTGGGGCTGGGATGGCTCTGGGAGCGGGAACACTGCACCCCCTGCTCCATGGGGTGCCAGGAGGGACACTCACCCTCTTTCTCTCTGCCCAGGGAAGCTCTGCGCTGGACACTGTTCACCATGCAGGCCACAGGCCATGCCCTGCTCGGCACCTCCTGCTACATGCAGCAGCTCCTGGATGCCACCGAGGAGCAGAAGGAAGAGGAGAACAGCCTGGCACTGCCCAACCTCCTGCCCCGCAGCCTCCCAGCCCTGCCCTCCAGCCTCTCAGCCCTGCCCCGAAGGAAGATGCTGCAGTGAGGGCTGGGTGTCCTGTCCCCCATCCTCCGTGCCCCCCAGTCGCTGGGGATCCCACACCCTACTAGGTCAATGCCTGGGGCAGTGCCCACCACAGCCTTTCCTTGCACTCCGCTGGCTGAGCGTGGCCAGATCTGCTCTGGAACAGCTGCTGCTCTGTAAATATATTTATTTAAATAAAGTTTCCCTGAATTCAGCTGTATCTTCTGTCATCTTTGTGGGGGACACACAAGCCCCTTGCACTACTTGGCACTCGGGGGTGGTGGTGTAAGAGCATGTGAGGACGGGAACTCTTGCAAACACTTCCCAAGGGAGCTGCTGCCTTTGCCTCCTCCCTGGCACCCAGAGCCTGGCTCCCATCTCCTAGCACAGAGCTGAGACCCCTCTAGCATTGTAGACAACCATGAGGAGCGGATGGGGCAAACCCCAAACCCACTGGCCTGTGGCAGCTGGCCCCAAGCCTGTTCTTGCTCCATTTGAAGGGATAAAAGGTGCCCCTGCTCCTTGTGCTCCAGACTGTCCAGGATTGGCACAGAGGGACACTGCCCCTGTCCTGGAGGGGGTGTTCCAGTCTCTGGGGTCCTCAGCCCCCTTGGCAGCCCTGTGCAGGGAAAGCTGCTGTGACCCCCCAGCCTTGCACAACCCTGGGGCTGGTGCTGCCCCGGCCATGTCCATGGGGATCGCAACAGCCCAGCAGCTCCAGGGATACCAACTGGGAAACAAACAGAGCTGGGGGCACTGGGTTCCATTGACCTAGCACTTGGGCACTGTCCTTGAGTGGGGATGGAGAGCCCAGAAGGGTCCCTAAAGCACAATCCCTGCCAGACAGGGCAGGATGAGGGGGAACAACCCACTGCCTGCCTGTGTTTACTGGGAGCTGTGGGGAGATGAGAAACCATGCTCTGGGGGTCCTTAGGGACCTTCTCCCCTGACACACTGCAGGGGACACATGACCTCAGCCACGCTCACCTCGACATCCACTGCAGGGTTCTGGAGCTCCGGTGCAGGTACTTCTGGTGTGGGAGAGACCTGAGCCCCACCTGTGGCTGTGGGAGCTTAATTAGCCTGATAATTAATGAGCCATCAGCCTGCAGCTGAGCACCACCTGCGCCCAGTCTGGGGGTGGCTGCATTGCCCCACGGCACGGATGTGTGACACCCCTGGTGCCACCAAGGGGTGCCAGGGGCAGTGCGGGGAATTTGTGCCCTGCCATGCTATTGCCACTGTCCCCATCCCTTGTCCCTACAGGGTGACAGTGGCCATGCCAGCCCCCCCAGTGTCCCTCCCCTCACACAGGTGTTTATTAGACATATTTATTTCTGTACACACTTATACACACGGTTCCCGGGGCAGCTCCATCTTCGCCTCCAGTGCTGTCTCCGTGCAGGCTCTGCTCTGCAGTGGGGGCACCCCCATGTTTTCCAGGGTCTGGAAATGCCACAACCCCCATCCCAACCCTGTAGTGTCTACCTGGGGGCAAAGCCTCTCCATAGCACCCAGGGCAAGGCTGTGCACCTTCCCCCTGCCTCAGTTTCCCTGCCTGCAGCAGGGACAGAGGTGGGGGCTGACCTCCCCTCAGCACCATGCTCCCCACCACAGGGTCCTCAGACCCCCGAGCTGGGGTGAAGTTTGGGGCTTCAGATGCTGAAGCTGTCCCAGAAGAGCCTCCTGGGGGTCCTCCATCACATCAACCCCTGCAAGGGAGGGGTGTCAGGCACCGGTCCCCTGCCTCTGCAGCCCCCCGAGCAATGGCGGGGGGTATGGGGAGGTTACTTGACGTGCTCGGCGGCATGGGAGGAGCAGTAATACTTCTTGTGGGCGATGAAGGTGGAGAGGCTGCTGAACTTGATGTTGCAGAGGCGACAGTACCTGTGGTTGCCGTTGGGCACAGGGCCGGGCACAGCCTTGGCCGGGGGGGTCTGCACTCCCCTGTCCGTGTAGGCGGGGGGCGTGGGGGGCTTGCGGGCGGCTTCCCGCAGTGCCTCAGGGGCTCCAGGTGAGGAGGGGGGCCGGGGGGATGCCGGGGGCCGGGGGCTGCCGCTGCCGTCCTGGCCCTCCTTGGCACTGCAGCTGTCCCGGCGGAGGCGGGGTACAGGTGGGCGAGGGGGTGACGCAGTGGGCAGAGGGGGTTCGGGTGTCCTGCCGGCACTGGGGGCCAGGGTGTCGGGGACCCCCTGCCCGGCCACTGCCGGCTTGGCCACGAAGAGCCCGTGGGCATTACGGAAGTGCTCAAGGAGGTCTCCCTTTATGGCCCCGTTGAGGGGACAGTAGGGACAGGCAGTAAGAGGTCCCTTCACCCCCAGAGGTGGCAGGGGACTCTTGGGGTGACGCTGCAGTGAGTCCGCCCCGGCATAGGGGATGCCAGGGCTGCCCGTTGGGGCTGCCCTCACCCGCACACCCTCAGGGTCCCCCTCACTGGGGCTGCCAGGGCTGCGCTGCCCCTTGAGGGGGGTGGGCATGGTCCCCTTCATCTTCTGGAGGTGCTCAAGGGTGCGGGGCTGCAGTGGGGTGGCCGGGCACTGGTACTTCTTGTGCACCAGGTACGCGTTGAGGCTATTGAAGCTGATGCGGCATGCGGTGCACTCGTGGTAGTCAGCCAAGGGCAGCAGTGGTGCTGGTGCCGGTTCACTCTGCCACCGTGGCTTCTTGCTCAGGTCGATGGGACCCTCAGCATCGGGGCTGGCGCGGGGCGAGGGGGCAGCCCCGGGTGCGTCAGGGGCCGGTGGTGGGTCGGGAGCCGGTGGGGGCTCGGCGGGTCGGTGCGCAGCCCCGTGGATCTCGTAGAGTTTGCGGCGCTTGCGGGTGCGCAGGGGCTGGGGCAGGAAGGGCACTTTGGGGGCAGCGGGACGGCGCAGTGGGGGGTCGTGGCGGGAGGCGCAGTAGAAGCGCTTGTGCACCACGTAGGTCTCGTGGCGGCTGAAGCGGATGTTACAGGCCTCGCACAACGTCTTGCTGGGGTCCTCATCCCCCTCGTCCCCCACCGAGCTGCCGGGGCTCTGGCTGTCCTCGCTGCATCGCCCAGATCCCCCCTCTGCCTCGGGGGATCCTGCTTTGCCACCCCCCTCTTCTGCTTTCACCTCTGGCGCGGTGGTCGGTGGTGTGGCATCCCGGCCGGCCTCCCCATCCCCTGCTGGTGTTCCCTGCCCATTGCCCGCCGGGGGGGACAGCAGTGTCCCCGGGGCAGGAGGACCCTTGGGTGCCCCGGGGGGTGCTTTGAGCTTGCGTGCCCCGGGGGGGCTGTCCTCAGTCAGGTGCCGGCTGGAGCAGTACAGACGTTTGTGCACGTAGTAGTTGTTGATGTTGTTGAAGGTGATCTCGCACTCGAAGCAGGTGGCACCCTTGGGCACTGGCGTGCCTGTGTAGATGGTGGGTGGTACGGTGCCCCCATGGCCCTGTTTCAGCCGGCTGTGCACCAGCTCTGACATCTTCGCCAGGATCTCTGATGCCTGCGGCACCACAGCGGCTTCGTGGCCGAACACGTACTGGGGGAGGAAGACGGTGCCACCAGCTGTGCCTGTCCCTGGCTCGCTGGGCACTGGGCTGGAGCCCGGAGTGGGGCTGGTGAGCTCCGACTTGACCTTGGCTGAGGGCAGGCTGCGGGGGGACGATGTCCGGGAGCCGGCGTCGGGGCTGCCAGCCCCCTCCCCGCTTTTCGGTGCCTCTGCCTCACTCACCGGGCTGCCGGCAGGCTCCTCCTTGATGCGGACAGTCTCGCCGGAGGTGGAGGAGGAGGAAGAGGATGATGATGCTGATGAAGGCCCTTCCCCATTCTGTGGCTGGGCTGCTGGTGAGAGCTTGCCAGCCCTGGCATCGGGGGGCGAGGCGGGTGGTGCCGGGGGCAGTGTGGCATCGGAGCCGGGCAGGGGGGTGGGCGGGGGGCCGGGCAGCACCATGTGCTGGGGCAGTGCTGGCAGCCCCTCAGGCAGGAACGCTGGCAGGCTGCACTTGCGCAGGGACGCGTTGTTCGGCTGGCTCAGCCCTGCCAAGGGACAGAGGCACCAGTGTCACTGACGGCCCCGGGACAGGAATGCTGCCCTGTTCCCTGTTATCAACACCCCTAGCAAAGCGATGCTCACCCTCTTCCCCATTCCCAACGCAGCGACACTGCCCCATTCCCACCTCCCTCCCTGTCACTAGAGCCTGATGGGGACAAGTCCTCAGTGCCAATGCCATCCCAAGTCCCCTGTGGCTGCGGGCCCAGCACTTACCAGGACCAAGGGGTTTGGCAGCAGGAAGGGCTGATCCAGGGGAGAACACCTCGCCCTTGGAGCCCGGCTGGCAGATCATGTGGTTGGTGACCAGGTGGCTGTACAGGATGTCCCTTGTGGTGGAGATGAAGCCGCAGCTGTGGCAAACACCTGTTGGGAACATGGCACGGGTTGAGCGGGCACCTGGCAGGGCAGGGAGAGCCGGTGCCCATCCCCAGGCTGTGCCAGAGGGGACAGGGATGTTCCCATGGGAACACTCACCGTTCAGGGTGTCTGTGTGCACCTTAAGGTGCCGCTCACAGTTGGCTTTGGTGGTGAAGGCAGACAGGCAGATCAGGCAGACGAACGGCCGCTCTCCTGCGGGACACATGGACACTCAGGAAGGGCGATGGGGACCACAGGGACACCCCACAGTGCCAAATCCCTCCATCTTTACAGGGTTGAGATGGTGGAAGACCTACAAGTGAACTGCCTCAAACCAGCGACCCAAATGGGGAGCATCTCACTGAACTGGTCACCACGCTGCCACCCCACAGCCTCCCTGCCCCTCCACCCAAACAAAGACTACAGTGCCATGCCATGCTGTGCCATACCGCTGTGGCTCCGCATGTGGATCTCCAGGGAACTGGCACTGGGGCAGCTCTTCTTGCACTGGGGGAAGGGGCAGACGCGCTCGTTGGGATACGTCTCCTTGGGCTTCTCATCCAGGGCCGGTGAGCCAGCACCGGCGCTCTGCCGGCTGGCACAATAGTACATCAGGTGGGCTTGGAGGTTGCGCTCGCTCCGGTACCAGATCCCGCAGTCCTTGCACGGGAAGACATCCTCTGCAAAGGGGAAGGGACAAGGGACATGCACCACTTGTATTATGGGTTTGGGAGCCCTGGCAGGGCCGCGGTTCCACAGGCTGCGCCGTGTCCCCTCCGCGTGTCCCCAGGACTCACTGTTGACCA